GTCTTGTAGTGAGGGGCCCAAAGCTGAACCCAGTATATATTGGTCTAAGTCTAACTGCAAGTTGTACTCCTCTAAAATACAGTGCATTTAACTCTGAGAACCGTAGTTACATTTACCCTGTAGTAAGCAAGGCCCGACCATGAGTTAGGGTTTGAACTCAGGGAGCAGAAACGGGTTTGGTACGAATAACAATACATTTTAGCTTTTAGATCGAGTAGCTGTCAGTTTTGAATAAGTCAAGTGTTACCAGAAATAAAGCTTATGACACTTCTCAGATGTGGGATGTCAAGACTGTGCCACTTTCCATCACCAGAGAGCTGATTTTTTCCCATTTGTTGCTGCCAGAGGAGGTGAGAGTCAACCAGTGTGATGGCAGCTGTGCTTCTGGGAATGATACCAGGAGGATTATTAACTCCCCCAATGTGCTTCTGGGACAGGGACAGACACAGAGATTTACTTTACGTTTAGCTGAAAGTTAATAAATGATTGACTCGAGCTCTTTTAATATCATAAAAGATTAAATCCCAACTCCTCAGTTGCTGTAAATGGCTGATATGCTGTTTGGAACGCCGGCAGGTGAGAGTCTAGCCCTATCTATCTAAAGAAATAAAAGGCAATGAAAAAAAAATAAAATTAAACCTTAACACATATAATCTGTATTTTGTATCTAACTAGGATGTATAGCTTTTACTAAAAGTATTCATTTTACTTCATGCTTCTAAAAATAGTTCTTTAATTAAAAGCTGGAGGCAATCATAAATACATTCTCTTAAAGTGATCTGAAGGGTGAAAAAAGCCCTTCAGCTAACGATATGCTTGTGAACTTTATTTTTGGAAGTTCTGTTCCTATAATTATGTTCTATCTCGCAGTAAATTCAAAGGCAGAAGATCTTATTTTCTCGCTCTTTTCCGAGTGTTGAGCAGTTTAGTAGATATGATGAATGCTGTTGTCATTTTGTTCTTTCTTTTTTGGAGAAGTGGGGTTCGGGTGCGGGTCTTTGTCTTAGAAGAGGTCCGTGCATAAAGTTATGCTGTTGTTAACGTATAATAAATGAGAGTCCTCCTTAGCTCTTTCAAAATTATTGATTCTGACTCTCAATCTTTTAATGATTAGACATCGCAGCACTCCCATTAACGACTTCTGCCTGAAAGATACACCATCAGGAAAAAACCTGCATCTCAAGCTATCGGAGTGACTCAGCAAGGTGACTCAAGAAAATAATTTAACGTGCTGGAGGAACTACCACTTATTAAAGCGGACTGTCACGAGCTTGTAAAACGGCATCTCCAGCAACTCAAGAGCGAACACAACTCACGTCTGATCTTTGTGTTCCAAGTGGCCCAAAGAGAAATGTTGCACGCTTAGTGGGGTATCTTCTACTTAGGGAACACTGAAATACGTGCAATTAACTGCAGAACTTTGGGACTTTTTGATAAATATGATAAAAATACAGTTTGGTATCAAACTTGTGCTCAAGGCTTTATATAGGTCATCCTCAGTGCTCTAAAGATTAAAGTCTCTGTTCTTCAGAACATAAACCTTGTTCCTGTGAACATTTGCACTAACCGCAAGGCAGTGAAAGTTCTTCCAGTAACTCCAGTGGGTGTTAAATCAGTAGCTTTTTTTCTGGCTATTTTGCTTTTTTTTTTTTTTTTTTTTTTTTTTTTTTTTGTATTAAAATTCTGCAACTTAGTGTAGTTCTGTTCTGCTCAGCCTCAAAGGGAAGAGCAGAGATCGCACTATCCCAGAATAGCCTACAGCTGCAGGTAGGACACACTGCGGGGAATTCAGGGGAGGGACGCAAAATTTATAGAAATACTGCGTGGGATTTACAGTTCGTTTGCATAGCTTCATGGAATTACATTCTGCTTCCTTTGAAAAGTAATCCCATCGGTTTCCTTTGCTGTTGGAAGACAAGAAAGGGTAGCAACAGAAAAATCTGATGTTACCAGTTTTCAGTGTTGCCTCAGCGCATCAGAATTTTACATTATTTGCTTGTCAGGTTTAAAAGTTATTATCACTAAAAAAAATTATTACTGTATATTGATACTGTATTTTATTAGAATTGAAATGAAACTTAACAGCATATCCTCAGAGGGGATAATCTTAAAAAAAAGAACAGAATATTTTAATTAAAGTATAAATAAATTATACGTAAGGCCAATACAAAACTTTTGTCTGTGTTATCCTTCCCCTCCATATATCAAGATTGTGCACGGATGTATAGACACAAATATATCCCGTGCTGTGCCATAGCCTAGCTTTAGAGAAAAATGCAGTAGCATAAACTATAGCACTATGCAGCAGTTGAACACGTCTTTATCTTTAAACTTCTGAACCGGTCCCATTGCCCTTTTGGTTTGGTTAAAGTTTGTTTACAGAAGCTTAAACACATTTTTAAGGTTTGGTGAGTTGAGGAGATGATAGCAAAAAAAAAAAAAAAAATAGGGGTATAATGTACTTCCCTGCCTCCTTAGTACGGTTTCATACCTTGTTTATTTTATATTTTGGTAATACAAACATAAATGTATTTTATATTAAACCCTCTTGATATAAATAAAAATATTCCGAGCTATTTTGAAACTGGCAAGTAACATTTCTGTATCAGAATCTAATTGGAAATATGAAATAATCATTTTTAGATACTTTTCCAGGGAGAAAAAAAAAAAAAGAGAAGGCATATCTAATCAACTTATCCATCTTTTCCAAACCAAATAAATATGACCCTGATTTTTTAACAAATTCTTATCTGATATTTTCAAATCTCGAGTTTAAATTCTCACTAGTAAGATCCTCACTCCTCAGTTATTATTGGTATTATTACATGCTTAAACTTACACACAATGAGTTGGTTTATTGGCACCCAGAGGATGACAAAGTGCCTGTCACTAAGCCTGAGGTACATAAGGGGCTACAGGACTGGGGCTTTAAATTGCATCTCCTCAGACCAGGGATCCCGTCTGATTTTGGTTTAGGCCACACTTAGCAGGGATGTTATTTAAACTGGGGATGAACAGCGAGGTGGCAAACTTTGCTCAGGTATGGTTCTGCGTAGATTGTGAAGAGCTGCAGACAGTGACTGACAGGCCAAAAAAATCCCAGATTAAATTCAACGCAGATAGATGTGCAGTGATGGAGGAAAAAAAAAAATCTAATTTCACAAATAAAACAGAGGTTCTGAGCTGCCCGTTACTATTCAAGGACAAGTGGTGGGTTATGATGAAACTGAATAGAATATTATGAACCTCTGTGAAGGAATAGAGAACAAAACAGAAAACAATATTAGCAGCACAACCAACACAATTCTGTATGAAGCCGTTTCTCTGCAAGAAATGAAGCACGGAAAATGCTTGCGATGAAGAAAGACTGAAAAAGAAAGGGCTAAGGGTGTTTTCTGGAAATTTCTACAGAATAATAAATGTCACGTAGAAGGTGAGTAGGGAACGATGGCTTAACTGAGATGCTTTAATGCACCTTGCAAGTTCACAGCCAGCAGCAGTCCTTCCCACAACACACCGGAGCGGTTTAACAGAGGGATGTCGGCGTTTTTCACCAATCCGAAGCCCCAGGCGTAAAACGCATCAACCCAGGATGGTGTGGAAACGCGTGGCTCGGGACGTCCCCTCATCACCAATTCTGGGGACGCTTGGGGAGGCCGCAGTGAAAGCGTCACTCCGCGCTCACCCCGTCCTGCCGCTCAGCAGAGCCCTGCCCGCAGGCAGCCAGCCCCTGGGTCACCTTTTACATTCACAGAATCACCGCATCACCTCAGCTGGAAGAGACCTTGAAGATTATCCAGTCCACCCATGAGCCTAACTCCTACAGTATTGATTATCACGGATGGACGCACGCGTAAGCAGTTCAGTTATACACCAGATTTCGGGATCTCAGATCCAAAACTTCATCTATTTGTATCTCTCCTCAAAAAGTTATTAACACGCTTTGCGTTTTTTTCCTTAAGGACTCCTCTACCATCTCGCTCTGTGAAACGCACTGATCACTCGCCCAAGTTGCTATGGTTGCTCTGGACATACTTCAAGTGGCCCTCGAATGCCACAAAGCAAAAATTTACTCTTCGAAATGTCTTTATAAACGGGAGCTGAAGCTGCTGCCAGAAACAAAAATAATTTTTATCAGCTGGTGCTTCCAGCTGGCTGAGGGAGGTTGAGGGGAGGCTGGGGGAGGCTGGAGGAGGCTGGGGGGAGGCTGAGGGGAAGATGAAGGAGGCTGAGGGAGGCTGGAGGAGGCTCTGCGTTTCACCCAGTTATTCTGGTCTCTGACCTGAAGCCTACTTCAATAAATAACCTAAAAGTATTTTCCTGTTTGGTAAATGACCTAATCTGGGGCTTAGTGCAGTACACATTGCTGCAGAGAGCGGTAGTGACCCAGGTTTTAAAGGAACAAAGTAAAATACAAGCAGCAATTTTAGTGTTAACAGCTACCTTAATGGATAACCTAGATGTATAGACAGGGCTGTTACCTTTTTTTAGCTTGTGATGTTTATAGGATAACAATTACACCAACAGGCTTCCTAATGTCTTCAGGTTGCTGACAGAGCTCTGAGATGCACGGCTGGACTTTAAAGGAAAAAAAAACACTTCTAGAATAATTTACATACTTGAAGTATTAAAGAACCCTCAAGTGCCTCATAACGTTTAGCTTTATGTGCTTCCACTTAACTGTTAAGCATCTGAATACTTGCTGCATCTTCCTCTTGGGATATCAAAAGGTGGCACAAATGAAGCCTCTGAAGCTTTGTACTTTTGTTTGAGAGAGACTGATATAACTTGGAAGCTTTCATCAACAGTGTTTTGAGTATGGGGTTTTAATTGTTATTTTTACAGCACATACTTTATTCTCTGTCAGTAACAGTTTAATGCAGTCGCTCAAAGTCACTATGAAGGCTCGTTCTACTGTCGTCTTAGAGCTTTCAGCTTAAGCAGGACTTGAACTTTTTGAAAAGTTTCTCTTGCTGACTTAAGTATTCTTTCCCCAAAAGTCAGATGATGGAGCTGGCGGGGCCCCCAGAATTGCTCCCATCACCCAGGGCTGGGAGACTGCTCGGAAGGAGCCGCGGGAGCCATTTAAACCCGAGATCACGCTGTGGCTTGAAAGGCCAGCTCTGCCTCGTGGTTTGTGCCCGGGCATGGTCAGGCAAGCCGGTTTGCTGTGACTACACTGTTAATTTGTCTTGTTCCTCAGTGGCTTTTTTTTTTTTTTTTTGATGGTGAGGTTCCAGACAGGCCAATAAACTGCTCTTCATTTCACTGGGAGTGGAGGACTCTGGGTGTGTGAGTGAAAGTGTAATAGCTGGCAGAGTAGGGCTTTCAGTTCCTCGTGGGAATGTTTGGTTGTGTTTATCAGTCTGAAGTAGGTCTGATGTTAAAAGGAGCCAGTTTGGCATCTGAATTTATTTTTTATGACCTTGCATCTTAGAATCTAGATGGTAAGTGGCATTATAATTGTAAAGCAGCTTGGTAGGTCTCCTTATTGCGTGAATTTCAAGGGCTTACTTAAATAACATTTTCCAAGTTTTAATATCGCTAATGGGGAAACACAGTATATGCTAGATTTGGTAGTACTCTGAACAGGAGAGCCATATACGACAGTGAAAGGATTGAACCCTTAACTTGTGCTGCAGAACACCTGTTTAATTTGAAGTTTGCTGCAAAGGAGCTCAACAGAAACTCAAAAAAATGTGACAAAGAAGAAAAGGCTGAGAAAGCTAAAATTAAGAAGGTAAGCAGTGAGTCTGAAACAAGCTCTTTAGATCTATTGTTTACATATTACAGCAGGAAAATATCTGGTGTCTTTACCATTTTCCTGGTATGTATGCTAATAATACTGTGGTAGATGCTCGTGATTTAAAATACAAGGCTACAAATCTTCCCTTACCAATAAATGTGAGGATACATTCTTGTGTATCCTCTTGTATGGCATGTCAAACCTGAGAAGATTGTCTTGTATGTGTTGCATTACAGATTGTTGTTCTCAAAGTTAAAAACATTTTATCTTAATGTTTTTCATCTTGTGTTAAAAGGGCTTATGAAGAGGAACTTCAAAATAGTTTTGGGGTCTTTGAAGTAGTAAAGAGAGAGACTAAATTTATTTGACTGTATTTTTGTTCATGAGATACAACCATACCAACTGTTTGGGTCTTGATAATGGAAATATCTTTAGGAATGAGAAAATGATGTTTCTGTAACTTTGTAAAACCTCCCACTTGAAGTGCATACTAGATGCCTTCCTTGGGAGGAAGTTAGGGATTCACATTCTGAAAAAATCTGAGAACTGTTGGGGGGGTTAGGAAGGGGTTTATTTTCTCTTTTAATAGAAAAGATACTGTGATGAATCACAGAATCATCTGGGTTGGAAAAGACCTTGAAGATCATCTAGTCCAACCATATTTGATGCTTATTTCAAAAATTAAATAGGCTCTTCAGAAATCATGTTTACAAGAGCAGGGAGTGTCAAAATGCTTTTTTTCTGTTGTGTTTGTTTTTTTTTTTCTACAGGCAATTCAGAAGGGTAACATGGAAGTCGCACGAATACACGCGGAGAACGCGATCCGCCAGAAGAATCAAGCCATCAACTTCTTGCGCATGAGTGCCAGGGTAGACGCTGTAGCTGCCAGAGTTCAGACTGCAGTGACAATGGGCAAGGTAAGTCTGTGTGCACAAGTCTGCTGCAAAGGCGAAACCCCTCATCTTCTTGGAAGTGACTTAATTCTGTCTGTAACGAGCTGAAAAGTTTCAGATTTGGTTTCAGATATAGCCAGTAGTACATGGAGTGCTGGGATCCCCTGGCAGCTGGTCTTTACTGCGTTTTGTAGCTTGAAGCTCCTGTTAGCTGTTACTTCTCATGCCTGCAAGGATACAGTGTGTTTCACAGGTTATACTGTTAAGGTTATTTTGCAGAAATAGTGCTCCCCTTCCAAAGACATCAAGTCATGACATAGAAATTGTGATTCCAGAAATCTTTTTTAGCTCAGGTGTTTTTTTAAGGTATGCTACTGCTCTTCAGCCAGAGAGTTTATTCTGCCGTGTGATCTGTATGCCAAATATATCCCTTAACTTTTGACAGGTCTCAAGACCCACAAAAGGTAATGCCATATACACCTCAGGTTTTAGTGAATTTCAGCTCAGAATGCATATTTGAAGTCCTTAATTTATAGAATTTGAAATTATATAAGCTATAAGACAAAGTGACGTTCTAGATGGCAGTAGTGTGTGCCCTGCTGTTTGATACTGTAGAAACTCTGTGGCCAGCGATAAGAAAGCTTGGTAAGAAACTGCTAGTTTTTCTTTCTTTGTAATAATTTCCTTTACATCATTTCAGGTAACGAAGTCGATGGCAGGAGTAGTTAAGTCTATGGATGCCACACTGAAGAGCATGAACTTGGAAAAGGTAAAGAGGCTTACTTCTCTTGGAGCTGCACATCTGAAGCAGAAAGGGCAATGGACACACATTGTAAAAAAGGGAGGTTCCAGTCAAGAGAGAAAGTGTTGTGGTGTGGTTGGTAAATCTTGGAACAGGTTACCCAGTGTGGTTGTAAAGTGCTCAGAAATGGAGATGCTCAGAACTCTGACCAGGCAGGGCCCTGACCAACCTGCTGGAACTGCAGCTTCAAAGCTGGCACTGGGAGGGGAGGGGGATTCTGTGTTTGCCAGCTGAGATACAGTTATCTGCAGATCTTTGATTTCACTGTCTTTTTTTTTTTTAATAGATATCTGCACTAATGGATAAATTTGAGCATCAGTTTGAAACACTAGACGTTCAGACACAACAGATGGAAGACACAATGAGCAACACTACCACGCTAACGACGCCACAAGTAAGAATAGTAAATTTTTATTAAAAAAGGTGATCTTAAATTGTGTGTCTAAACTGTCTGGAAATGCCCGAGTCTCTTCTTTCTGCCCACTTTGAGACTTGGCAGCAACTGGAACCTTTTCACTTGTGCTTTGTGCTTCTTTGTGATAAAGAGACTATTTCAAATTAGTCACAAGTTCAGAGGATCACATAGATGTATTTTATTTCACTCTTATAATAGGCTTTATTTTATAATGTAGCTTGAAAACTTTAACCCTCCTACTGAATCAGCAGCGTTTTGATGAGTTCTTAATGAAATTCTGAACCAGAAGATGCTGCATCATCAATGATCAAAGCAGAATATGCTGTGAGAAAATCAGTAGTTCTAACTTGCTGATATTAACGAAAGGACAGTAGTCGCCACCAAATTAGTAGCAGTATATACAATGGAAATGTAGTTAACTACTTACTTTCAATTTATTTACTAAAATAAATCTTTAAACAATGCTTGACATAGTTAAGAATTCCTAGCGACTGTGCTATTCCACAAGGAGCTAAATGTGCTATTCCAAGGGGAGTTTTGTCAGAGAGAGAAACTTACTGCAGATTGTGCTTTGTAAACAAAATAAACAAACCAACCTAAACTCAAATCCAGTAAGTCAAATCTGTTGGAGATGGGCTTTTTTTCTGTATTCTGCAAAGCAGTGTTTTTGCAGCTGATAGTCAACACTTGAAATACTCAAGTATATGTTTGGGTTTTTTTTTACAGGTAAATTTAACTCTTTAGAAGCATTATTTCAGAAGCTAGAGTTCAATTAATTTTAACAGGCTGAGCACCTCTACGTGTTATTTCTGAGTTCATACAGGGCCCTCTGGTGGTTAAGCACAAAACTGCGCTGTAAAAGGTCTACCTTTGAATCAGTTTTGTTAAAACACTTTCTGTTCTCACAAGATTTAACAGAAAAGGTTGCCATAAATTACAATATGCAACAATCAGTTTATTTTTTTCTTTACTCTAGAACCAAGTGGATATGCTTCTACAAGAAATGGCAGATGAAGCAGGGTAGGTAAAATTTTACGTGACTATTTTTTGAATAAATCCTGGTTCCAGCAACCCTTCCTGGTTACCTTGAAGGTCAGATACCCTTGTTTTATATGTGTCTTTTGGAAGCAGAGAAGAATCACCGTTTTCCTTTCACCTCTGGGCATCTCTCTTGTAGTTAAGTTGCCAGCATTTCATTCTGGTTTTACTCAGAGCTGCTGTGAATGTCAGGATGCAGGGGTGGTTGTGCAGAAGCCTAAAATCGTACATCACTTGTCATGTCAGGATAGTGTTTTATTATTTACTTGGATTAGCTTTAGCATTATGAATCTTTGCCATATTTCTCCACGCTTTTCCTCTTTTTTTTCCCCTCTTCCCACATTAAAACTTCCTGTAGTTCTGCTCTCACAGGCTAGACGTTGCAAAACAGTTTGTCATGATATTTAAGCCTTTGAGGATATGCTGAATTATCTCAGAGCATTTTCCTTGCCTTCTTGGTGATGTATAAGATGGAAATGTCACTCCATTGGCTTGAGGATAAATGCTTTTTACAAATTTTTTTAGTAAAGCACTTTTTTTACGAGTGACCTTTTTGTTATTCGTATGTATGCCCTGTCTGATGCACCTCTGTTAACCAGCAATCTTGCTTAGTCTTGGTTAAGCAGAATTCATTTAGCTATTGCTAGTTATAATATATAATAAGTGTATATATAGTTGTTGTCTTGGTAATGAGTCAGATTTACTAATTAACTTGTCTAACTAGCTGGAGTACAGCATTCATGGGGTGCTGGTGGCCTCATGCTATCTCAGGATTCCTCTGCTTGTCAGTTATTGTGCTTCTTCCTTTAGCCATTTATGCCTGACTTGGGTGTTTTTTTTGTTTTGTTTTCTCCTGTTAGTCTTGATCTGAACATGGAACTACCTCAGGGACAGACAGGTTCTGTTGGTACAAGTGTTGCCTCAGCAGAACAGGTAAGCATTAGATGAAGTTGAAATCAATGTTTTCTACAGAAAGGTGGTATGGGAATTAACGCTTCACTTGGTCAAAACAAGCTTGCTAAGTTGTAATTAGATTTTAGCTGTCTAAAAGAAATAGTGTGTAGTTAAAACAGTCTTGCAATCAAAATAATTTTAACGATGCATTTGTCTGCTTAGTAAATCCAGAAGGTGTAGATGTTTCAGGTGTACTTTTTGCATGATTATTTCACAGAGTTCCAAACAACTGAGTCTCCTTCCTCCTCCAAATTTAATGAATCCAGCCATTTCCCATAGCATACACAAGACCTTTGGGTTTTTGTTTTTTTTCCCCTTTAATGTGTGAAAGGTCTTTTGGGACTAGTGCAAAGGATTCCACCTGCACTCTGGGTAGATAGCTTAGAATTCCTTGTGCCTGGGCAGATCCTGATGTCAAGGTTGTGCAGATCTGTTAGTGAGTTGCTTTTCCCATTCTAGGGGAATATATTTGAGGGAATGGAAAGAGAACAGTTCATTTCTGTCATCTCGTCTTTGTGGAGAAGGCTTTAGCGAGCCTTATCTTAACTGACCAATCTTTGGGAAGCCCCAAGTACCCCACATTCTTGGAAAAGTTTAGTTTCACCTTGTACCAGGCCCCCTAAAAGAGTTTGACCTGCTGCTCCCTGGCTGTAGCAGCTCAGCTGGATACCAGCCTCGGTCAGACAAGGCTGCATCCGAATAAAGATGCGGTTCTCCGAGAGCTGATTTGCCCTTGCAAAGATGATAATTAAAAAAACCCCAATCAAACCTAAACCGACCATATCTCTACTTGCTGTGTTCTGAAACTCCTTCCTAGGTACCCGCTGTTGGAGATAAAATGGCTGCAGAGACCTCTGGTCTCACCTGGTACAGCCCTTCTTGAGGTCTTGAGCAAATCTTAAGACTTGTACGTGAGAGAATTTCACATCCTCTGGACATGAGATTGCTTGACCGTTGCAGAATGTTGCAAAAATTAATTTTCATGTTACTGATAGGCGGTTTCTTTGTGTTTTGCAATTCTGCAGGATGAGCTGTCACAGAGATTGGCCCGCCTTCGTGATCAAGTTTAAGTTTAACGGAGCTGTGGTTCTTTGTACGTGCTTTCAAAACACCTTTTCTGTACCTAACCCTTCACTACACTAGAAAGGTGTATGCAGTATGGCTTCAGTGTTTGAATATTTCTAATATAGGGTGCTTCACTCCTAGCTTGCTACTCTTTCTAAAATACATGGAGTAACCCAAAAATACCATCTCTAATGTCCTTTTCTGTACATTTTGAAGTTGATACATTTTTTTGCAAGCTTTTTTCACAAAATCAAGTTGATATTCTAAGTCAGCTAGTAATGTTGGTACATTCTAGCTAGAAGAAAAGCTGTGTGTCATTGATATATATTTTAAATTATGCAGTGTTTTGGTTTGGTTTTTTTTTTAAATTATGAGAACTGTTTATGGTTGGAGAACTGATGTGTTCAGTTCAGGTGATTGTTGTAGATAACTTTCTTAAGCAGCCAAGCTCCTGAAACGTGCAATGCTGGGCAGCATGAACTTCATGGAAAATATGCTTAAAACAAATAAGGGGACTTCAGTCTGAATTTTTTAGTCTTTTAAAGCTATGGTAATAGTGCTGAAATTGGTGATCTAGTTCAAAAATGAGTTCCCAGAAGCTGTTTTCATATAATTGGGAACTTGTACTGTGTCATCCCTTTAGTACAGGAGGAATAAAATCTATTTTCAACTCTTTGTCAGTTCTGTTGAGTGTTGCAGCTTGCTTGTTGTGTAACATCAGGTGCTGTAGTTTCTCCATTTTGCTTTCTTCTCAGTATCCCAGGTGCAGGCAGTGATGCCACTCACAGCTCTCTTCTGCCAACCTCTAGTTTCTGTTCACAGGGAGCTCCTGCTCTCCATTTTTGTAGATTCAAGCGGAGGAGCCTTATATGAAGTAACTGAAGCCTGCTTTTCTGCATTCCTCCTCACTCCATCTTTGCTTTTAATCTTGTCACTTTTTTATATGTAAAGACAAGTCTTGTAATGCAGCTTGGTGTTCTTCCATATATGAAAAATACAGAAGTGCTCTTCCTCAGGTTCACATCTTCCCAGTCCTCCCTCTCTTCTCTAGCCAGGGCACTCCCTTAGCTCAGCCTTTCCTCCTCTGCACCTCACAGCAGGTGGGGTGTGGATGAGCAGCGTAGGCCGGCTCGCTCAAAGGGAGTTCTGTTGGATTAAGAACAGCCACATATATTTTTTGAGCTATAGTGTTGCTCTCTGCAGATAAAATGCCATAATCTGTAATACTGTTGTAGTATGGAGAAGCTGGTTTGTTTGAGTGATCCCTTTCTATCCCTGCACAGTGAGAGAACCTACTGCCTGCGTTCAGTAGCTTCGAACTTGCTGCAGTTGTGAAGTAAAGAAATGGTTGTAGAAATTTGTAGCTGAGACTACTTGTGATGTGTTGTCATAAACAGTGATGTTAAAATTCTCTGACTTTTTGGGCTCATCTTTTTGTTTTCTCTTTGTAGGAGTGAGGAAAGGTGTGAAGCGCTAGACTTGGAATTAGTTCTTAATCTGCTGGTGTTCAGGTACCAGACTTGGAATTAGTTCTTAATTTGCTGATGATCAGGATCACGTGGGTTTTCCAGTGGTGGGGAAATATTTAAGTAAAAAAAAAAATACTTCATTTTTTTAGTCAAGCGGAATTTTGTCAGTGAAAACGCTGAAACATTTCAGAGCAGTTTCAAACTGCATTTTGATTGTGTTACTCAAATCACTTTGAAGGTTTAGCAGGATGTTACATACTGAAGTATTCAAGGCTACTGTCAAAATAAGGAAAATAAGATAGACATAACAACCTAAAATGTTTTGTGGAATTGTCTCTCTCTCACTGGTGGCCGAAACTAAACCAATTTGTTTAAAATAGGGTCTTTTCACTTGTTTACATTTATTTTCAATGCAGCTTTCTCTCAAACACCTTGAACGTTATTCCTGTAAATTGGAAGGTGTTTAAAAACCGTGTCCTCACAGCTGTAGTCTTGGTACAATTCTTTCAAATTACTAATAAAACACCTTAGGTAAGGGGCTATATACAATTTTTTTTTTTTTTTTTTTTTTTTTTTTTTTTTTGTTTTCTCTAGCTCCTTCTGAACAAAACATAATGGTGTATCTATGCAACCAGGTTACCCACAACTGTGGTAACTGCTTGTGTGTGTGCCTTTGCCTTGCTGAACTTACATCATTTTTCTGATATTCAGTTACTTCATATCACGATAGGATTGGAAACTTGCTGTTGTGTAATAAATCCACATCTGAGTTTACTTTGCAGCTGCTTGTTGATGAAGCTGTGCCATAAAGCACTTGAGGTTTTCGGTTTTTGATATTAGACAACTTCAGCTAGCTTGCCTGGCTTATTTTAATGTTAAAGATTATGCTGCTTTTAGACTGTTCCTGGCTATTCTTCAACTATTTGAGGGGGTAGACAGCAATTCTGAGATCCCGTGTGTTTGATTTTCGGAGTATCTTGTCTTGCCGTGAGCCTCCGGGCTTTGGAGGAACTTAAAAATAAAGGGAGATGAGACTGATTAGATTGCTGCAAAGTAAATGTTAAATCAGCTTATCTGACCGGCTATACACAGCCCGTTTCATAGTTTTGATCTTATCCCAGGCTACTGCTAACTCCAGTACCAGAATAGGTCTCCAGTATCATTTTTTAAAAGCGATTAACAAGTAAACATAAAGGCTTGATTGACATAATGTTACCTCTGTGGGACCATGATACAAAAAGGTGAGCAGGCTTAGCTGACTTGGGGTAGGAAGACGTGTTTGAAACAAGGAATTTTTGCCCTGCTGACTTTACTCAGAGAATTGCTGCGTATTACAGCGGGGCCAGGATTTTGTACTGGCTGCTTCTGCGTACAGAGCAACTGCCCTCTCCTGGGGAGAATTTGTTTCTCTCTGGAAGCACTTGTGGGTGAGAGCTGGTGTTTAGAAAGTTTTAACGGTTACATTTTTGATGTATATGTTTTTCTCGCGTCTTTTGGAAGTGCTTAAAACTGGAAGTTACTCTTAGAGCAATATTTGAGTTTCACATCCTTCCTCCATTCAGGCTCTCCTCAAAACATTTGCTCTTTTCTGAAGAACTGGCTCCTCACTCCTACACTGCTGGTGTTTCTCCTCAGTTGACTGTGTGTGTAGAAGTTCATTTCATGTTAAATAAATGGTATGTGCTTTTATGTAACCTTATTAGGAGATAATATTTCAATATTTATGATTCTGAGCAGGCACCTCTGAAGTGAAACATTGCTTGAAATGTTGCAAGATGGTATTGCTCGACATTTTTTTTTTCCTCGGTTACTAAAACTGCTAGTGTACAGTAGCATTAGCCTTCATCTGAATTCCAGAAAAAGCCATGAAGAGCTTCAGATGAAAGGAGAGGGAAGGGAAGGAAAAGAAGAACAAGAAGTTTCTCGGTTGCAATGGGATAAACTGATCAAGTTGCCTTTGTGGAGATCCTCAGAGCCAAAAAATAGTGAGATTTTGTTAAATATAATCAGCAATTGTGTATAGAAATAAATTCTGAAGCTGGTGACGTGTATAGAAAAGAGAATAATTTTTGTAGCTCTGGTAGAGTTCATTTTGAAAACTGCTTTACTTGTACGGGACGGTTTGTAAATGTAACTGCAAGTGGCAAATAAAACTGTACAGACACGTATTTCGGATGTGTTCCGAGGTTATAGGGCTGTTGGCTGGCGGGCACGGTGCCTGGATGAACAGGCAGATGTCATGATGTCATCAGTATTTTCCTTTTTTAGAAGAAACTAAAGTGGGTATTACCGTGAAAGATTCGGGACAACAGCTCAGGGAGTGATTAAGCATAACAACAAAATATAATTATTTAAAATTTTATGTGTTGTGGGGTTTTTTTTTAAGATGTTTAGTGTGGAATGGAGTGTATCCCTCATGCTTAAACATCGGAGATGGTTTATTTAAAGTTTTATGATTTATTTTTTTAAGATGTTTAGCGTGGAATGGAGCGTGTATCCTTTATACTTAAACATCTGAGTGGGTTTGTTTAAAATTGTGTGTGGTTTTTTAAAGATTTTTAGTGTGGAGTGGAGTGTATCCCTCATGTTTAAACATCTCAGAGGGTTTTCTCTCCTTACCATATCCAATAAGGGGTTGTGTGGAAAGCTGGCAGGAGCTGTGTGGTTTGGAGTTTGTCCTCCCCAGAGCTGAAAACTTCCCGGTTTTATTTTCGCCTTCCATTACTGTTTGGGAACCAGCAGAGGGAGCTTCAACCTTTGCTTTTGCGTAGGTCCTACATAAATTATTATTTTTTTCAGATTCTTAAAACAAAGAAAACTTTCACAGAGCCCTCACTAGCTGGTTGAAGGAACTGTGTGTCCAGTGGAACATTTGTTTCTGGGCAGTATCGCGTCTCGGTAGGACGTGCCTGTGTCAGGGCTTTGATCCTTGCCTAAAAGCTGCTCTGTTGCAGGAAACACAACCTGGAAATACGTTGCACAGGGCTGTCAGGTAATTTGTGCCAACACCTAGCCATCAGTGCTAAATGCACTTCAAAAATTTCTTTGCTGTCTTCAGGCATTAATTTTGAGAGCTACTGTTATAAGTGCGATAACAACTTCTTGCTTAAAACTTGTTTTAAATTGTTTAATTTTTAGTTAAGTTGTCTTGGGTTTCTTTAGCTGTTGTTCAGGTTTTGTCCTGTGATAATTCTGTTTTATACAGAAGGAAACGCACACTGTAGTGATGGAAAATTTTTAGGAGATTTTGTTTTCTTGCTAGAAGGGTTGTCCACATTGAGATTTGATTTGATGAAGTACTCGCTTTGGTGTCGGGATTCTCCCTGTCCGTAGAGCGCGTTGCGGTTTTTGCCTTTGGCGTTAGCATTCAGCTATTGCGAGGGTCTGGTCTGAACTAATGGCAGCATTCTGCTCAGTACTTTCTTTTTTCGTCAACCAATATTTTTTCAATGAAATCCCAAGAAGGGTCAGTGGCCTTACTTGTATCGGAAGCAGCTCTCTTCATTACCAGTCAAATAAAGGAAAAGCCTGATGCGAACAATCTGTAACTAATTTCAAGTGCCAATTGAGCCTTTTTAACTTGGGAGAAGATGCGGTGAGTGAGTGTAACAGGCTCTTGCTTGACCTTTACTACTCTTTATTAGGAAAGTCATGCTGAATCAGCTGTGATACACCCTTCGAGATAGAAAATCACCGGGCCGTAGGATCCCAGCTCTTTCCCCTCCTTTGGAATGTCTGCCAACGGTGCAGCTGCTGTGGGGAGCAGCCAGAACCAGACCATCTCGTAGCAGACAGGCTGCTATCGGGCTCTTAACCTAGACGAGGGTGATTCCAGAGGATAAAAGTACTTAAGTATCACCCATTTCTAATCTAAAAGATGGTTTACTGTTGCCACGACCTGTGCGTATTGCTTCGGATATCCTAAACTTGTTAACTCCGAGTGAAACAATCTTTTTGGGAACGTCTAGAGCAATAAATGTTACACGCCAACTAATATGGGTATCTGACAAGATAATAATCAGCTTAATTTAATTTCCTTGCTATCTGATTCATAATTCTTTCATTACAATCAATTTCTGTCAAAATGAGCTGTCAGGGAGAGTAAAACATTTTAGAACTTCCTTTAAAGCCACTCAGTATTTTTTTTTATTTATTTGTTTAAGAAGTCTTTCCTTTCTCAAAGATTAGTTTAACATAATCCTGGAGTCTGTACAAATTATTTCACTTTGTTCTTATCACAGCCAGGACTTTGTTTCTCTTGCTGCAATACGGGTTAATACTGGAACCCTTAAGCTCTCTCGCTGTTGCTGGTGGTTTTTCAGCTCCAAGTGAATGTGCAGTCCCAACATTTGACTTGAAATGTGTAGTTGAAGCAGGCAGGCCCGGTCGGAGTGTTGTAAATTAGTTCCAGTCTCCAGGAGACTGCTGTAACTAACTGATATGACCTGGAAGTGGATAAAGTCCATAGCAGTAAGATCAACTTTTCCTCCAGTAATTTGACAAATAGAGCCCTTTTTTTTTAAAAAAAAAAAAAAAAAAGTTCCACGTAGGCTACATACCCCATTTGTTCTTTATGATGGGCATCGTTTCCGCACTGAAGCGACAATGATTTTCCAGATTTCTGCTGATTTGTATAGCAGGTGCCTTAATTTATGAAGGCTAGAGGAAGGGAGAGATTCAACAGGAAAAGCAAAAGAAGGGTTCTTGGCAGCAACTGTATGCCAAAGTTATTCCGTACCCAGTTATGTTGCTGTATTTGACCATTGGTGCCTCTGTACAAAACAGATACTTCTAACAACCTCTCTGCAGAGATAATTCTAGTTAAGGTAGCAGAAGTATGAAGTATATTAGGGGTAATAATTACATGTAACAATGGCACTGCTTTTTCATCCAAATATTTATTTTATTTTTAAATACACTGTACAGCAAAGGTTTGTACTTGCCAAACCCCGAGTTGTCTTGTGTATAGCTTGTGTAAAGCAGCAAATATAAAATACCCCGGGTTCTCTTTCAAACGTGCTCTCGTTGGAGTTTTACAATTTCAGTTAGCCCGTGGTTAGAGTATTAAACAGACCAGGTATTCCCAAGCTCTTCATAAAGGTTTGTGATGGTGTCTGGGAAATCTGGATGTTTTCTCGGGGTACGGTTTACTGAACTGCACAAGTATTCCTCCTCCTGCTCTAGAAAAGATGCGCAGAAAGACCGGAGGTTTGCAGAGTCGCTGGATCTCATTTATTTTCTACAACCGCACAGAAATTGGGAAATCTCAGCGTTTGGGCTTCGACTCTTGCAGAAGAAATCGCTGAAACAGGACCTGTGCAACGGTAGCTGTTAGAAACTCCGCGTTTCAGTGCTTAGTTAATGTTATAAGAATAATTTTAGGCAGTCGCTGTAGGTAAATACATGCTGCTTTGTGTACGGGCAGTGATTTGGGGAGTTTCTTTGTGACCTCTGCTCCCAGCCCCTTCCAAACTCGCATCCCACCCTTCCTCTCCCATCCCTGCCTCCGCCAAGTCCGTCGGGCTTTTCAATAATCTCACCGTGTCTATAAACTCACCAGCAGCGACTCAGGAGAGTCCAGTCTCCTATTTATTTGTGCTCTAGTGGGATGTGAACCTTGGTCTTCAAGGGTGAAAGGTTGAGGGATGTGTGTGTCTTGTTTACCTGCGCTTTTCAGATAATGTTTGCCTTTAATCTATTAAGCAGACACACCATTTTGTCCCGTGGCGTACAATGGGATCGCTAATGTGCTTAATTACTACCAAACCACATACGGGTGACCGATGCCAGCAGACGAGAAGAGTCAGAGCGTGGTTTGTCAGCCAGGAGGGGTTCAGCAAGGCTTCCCCCACCTCCCGTGTTTAATAGAAACATCTTTTAACAAGAGTGCTGCAATCTGCGCCTGATTTATCCACAGCTTCGGTGGTGGGATAAAGTCATACTGGATGGTTTTCATATGAACCCTGAGTGATGGCTAAGGGGAAACGAGGTATTTACAAGTAGGAATTAAGAGATCCCAAGCTACCAATGGACTTGAAAATCCAAATTTTATTCTTTTGAAACTTAAAAAAAAAAAGCCTATAGATGCACGGAGTTAATTCCACCACTGTAGCCACTGCTGCCTTTCAGCACTTCGGAGGCTTTTCTCTTTACTACAGCTGTTACACTTGGGCATTTGCATGTCGTTGCATACTGAAGAAGACATTTGGACTTAATTTTTGGCACTGCTGCAGAACTGTTGTATACATTAATCAGCCAAGGTACATGGCTCGGTACGTGCTACGCTGGGGCTGGTTCACAGACACAATAGGATGGAGAAGATACAGCAACACAGCTGCTAAACATATTCACCGTCGCATAGTTAGTCACACTTGTGGAGTCTTAATTGAATTACCTTTGACAGTGAACAGCAAACCTGGTGGGTGATCTACTAAATTTAACTGATGAATGGGCTCCCTAAAATCAATTAGCATCCAGGGCTGTGAGCATGAACACATCCTGTCGCTCTGCGGGGACCGGAGCGGGATCAGAATGACAGCAGCAAATGTGAGACAAAGTGAAAGCATGCATCTCCTGCCGCTGCTGACCTCTGCTACCCACATGAAAGAAAAACAGGAGGCTAACAGGAGCTGAAAGAATCTGACAGTAAATCATTTAAGCTCTGTTTTGCAGAGCTGATACAGGATGCTTCTAAACTGCTTGATTAATGCTGGGCAGTATATTAAAAGCAAGACGTGGCGGGGCAAGAAGGCTGCTGCCGAGTACCAGCTCTTCCTCGGTGCACCAAGCTGTGAGAAATACCATCTATTTGCTTTATTATTTTTTAGATGTTCAAGGTAGTGGGTAGCTAAGAAGAATTAGCTGTCTTTTCTTTTGCTACAGCGACGGGGTCCTGTCTGCAGCCACGGAGAAGCCCTCAGCCTTCTGGATGGTTGGTTGTTATCTGAATAATCAACTGATGGCAAAATGCAGGCTGGAGGTTCCTCTGACCTTTGCCTCCGCGCAACCCGACTCCGCGCACCGTTCAGCCGGAGCATGTAATGAGGTACAGATGCCACAGATAGGATAATTGAATACACACAAATATTTGAGGGACTTTCAGGTTGTGGCAAACTGGCGAAGGCAGAAAACTCTTGATTGGGGGCTGCTGCCTTTAGGTTTGGGGGTG